AGAGAATACTTTAAAAACGATAATGTATCTCGACGACCCCCTCCCCCTTGTCTTGTTCACATCGCTTCGACCTTTGCATCGGTAGACTTGCCGATGCTATATTTAGAACTTATCTAAAAATGGATCCGATGGGTGATTGCATAAGAAGTAAAAAGTAGAGATTATAAAACACGCAGTTAAAATTCGTCACCCGAGTTGGATGGTAAACTCTTTGTGTCATCTCCGATCGGAACACACATTGAAATACAATGGGTAAGAGAGTGACAAAGATGATAATAAGTCTCGTGAATTGGCTATGCATTTATTGTTAAGGGATACGCACATGATACACAACTAGCTAACTGCGTGGAAATTTTGTTTATACACTTAAAATTTCCGCTTGTAGATATACGTATTTCAAGCATACAATCAAATGATTACTATAAAGATCAATCTTTTTTTTTTCAGAGTGAAAAATAACATCAAATACAATTAATCTAAAAAAAATAAATAAATAAAAACATTTACTAGTTTAAAGTAAAAAACAATTCAACAGTGTAAATGTTTATTAAGTTTAAAAATATTTCTTACTTTTTGAATTTTGAGATAAATTAATCAACGCAAAAGATTTTTAAAATGTTTGGTACAAAATTTTTTTAAAGAAAAATATGTAAAACTAGAGCAACACACATGGCGGACTATTTGTAATTAACCTTATGAGAGATTCTGTGCCCCCTAGAAAGGCTCTGGAGTAAGTGGATCACCGCTGCTACTTTTGCTAAAGTTATATGATCATAAATCTCTTTCTGTAAAGGAACCACGATTTATGTTAATGAGGGTTACTATTTAAAATCAAGTGAAGAGGAAAGGTGGGATGGTGATTGTAGACATGCTGAGATTAAGGACGTTTGAGAGTTAATTTAATATATGAGTCATCATACTTCAAGGTGAAGAAATTAGACAGGTCGTGCAAGGGCTTATAGCAGGGATGGCGAACCAGTGGCACACGTGCCATTGATGGCACGCGACACAATAGTTTGGGCACGCCACCAATCAAAAAGGTTTGTATTTTAATTTAAAATAACGAAGTTCAATATGAAGAATTACGAACAAACGCGAGTGATCGGTCGCAGTTTTCAGCGAGATTTTGTTAGTTCAAAGAGTTGTCGGAAAAGCTCACGTTTTTTATGTATCGCGATGTAACTTCATTTAATAAATTGAATTTGTCCCAATTCGATTAGTTGTAAATTGAAAAATATGAAATGCAATTGATTGATTTCCAGCTTAGTTCGATATGGATTCAAAAATTTGTTGTAAAAAGGAGAAAGTTAGAATTGATTAATACAGAAAGATTAACAAGCAATGTAAGTAAAAATGCTAGAAATGAAATTTTGGAAACATGGAATTCAATTACAGATACATTTAAAAAAAAGTCAGAAGAAATTGGCTCATGCTATTTTAACCATATTTTCATCAACCTATGCCCGCGAGTCATTATTTTCAGAGATGAATAACGTTAAAGACTCCCTTAGAAACCGTTTGGCAGATGACACCAATTCAGCTAGCATTCCGCTAACATCTGACAATCCTAATACAAGTTATATTTGTCATCTAATCTCCCACAACAGAACTCACACTAGTGTTACTTTAATTTGAATTACGCGTATAAATGAAACATTTACTACAGTGCAAAATGTATTTTTTTCGTTGTAAATAGTCTTGAGTTGTTAGTATTTAGTTTCGTTATTTTCTCAATAATCACAAGTCAAAAATTTTTGACGGCACGTCTATCCCTCATTAAACACATCTTAAAGAAAAAATGGCACATTGATCCAACAAGGTTCGCCATCCCTGGCTTATAGTATAGCTGAGGATCAGCTATATTGATGATAAGTAAAAGATTTATATTCTAGATATTTATAAATTTGTATTAAAACTGACGTCACTTGAGTGGAATTTAGATAGCGATCAGAAAGTAAAAATAAATCATATATTTTAAGAAAATGTCTCACTCTTCGGTGAGCCCTCACACTTCAGCGGACGAGAGTCTGCGACATTTTAGGCAAAAGACATCTTGTAATTTTTATTCAATAATGATGCTTGAATGTGTGCTTTTTTTAAATTCCAATACTATACATAAGACGACGGCTTTAGTAGTATTTAACATTGAAAGCATATTGTTGTATTCAACAAACAACAGCTCTTACTGTTCCACCCTAGTAATTCAAGATCAAGTATCAACCCTACAACCAATAGGCCATATATTTATCTATTACTGTTGCTGCCGTAGGCGAAACTTTCTATCCAAACGCTCATTTGTATAAAAGGAAGTGGATCCACCCTAATTGGAGATTTTTTTTTAAAGAAAAATGATGAAGGAAAAGTTTTTTTTCTCTGGTTTTACTGCCTTCTAGTTGTTTCATTGTATGTTTCCAAAGGCGGGGAGTTGTCAAACTGGTTAACACACACTAATTATCGCTTGTTGTTTTTTCAATGATATCTTAAAAGCAAACTTTTCAAACAGAAAATGGATCGCTGTCGGTAATTTTAATTTTACGGCTGTGAATAAGTGAACGTTTTATTAATACTGCACTACCAAGGCTATTGGCGATGGGCTCGAAATTTTAAACGGGGGAACGATACCTGAGCTGGCATCCCCTCTCCAAAGTGCCATAGCACGCCAACTGGCGGAATTTGAGCCTCGACAGATTTAACGTGCATCAGCCCCTCTATACGGCGGATCTTCAGAGGTACTGCGGCCCGAACTCAAACCACGGAGGCAACAAGGTCGTGACCATAATTATTAAACTGCCGCGGCCACTCAATCTTATGCTAAAATAGGGAGATGGTGTATATATTAAAACGCACGCCTGGAAATTACAAATTATATGCATTAAACATATAAATAGCCTTTTAATATTTTTTCACCAATAAATTTAAAATGCATCTGTGCTTATTCCATAAACAGACCGAGAATGCTTTTCTAATCGGAACATATAAAACCGTGAAAAAATATTTAAATTCTTTTGAATTATATAAACCAAATACATTTTAAAATGATATATTATAAAGTTATGTGCTCTAATACATGTTAATATGATATTCAACGATTCATATGAATCAGTAGCGCACACAAAAAATTTTCAAGGAGGGGGGGTCCAGGGTCGAAAGTCCACCATTTTGGTATCATGCTCCAACAGGCCACCCACCATATTCTTTTTAAATTTTACATAGTATATACGTAGGATTACAACCAATCGAAAAAAAATCAAGGGCTATGGGGATGTCCGGACCCTGGACAATCCCCCCTTGTGTGCGCCACTGATGTGAATTGTTTTTATCAATGTACACCAGTTCTTCGCGAATTCAAAAGAACTTAATTAATGCACACATATACTTCATGCAAATGTATTCTTTCCAAATTTTCAAATCCTTAAATTTTAATGCTTGAAAAACATTAAAGCATTATATTACAAAACGTCATGACAGAGTGAGTGAGCTTATTAACATCGCACTAACAGCAACTGAAGGGTTGTCAGCGACGGACCTCGCAATTCTGAATCTCAGTCAAGTGACAAGGACGATACCCGAGCTAGCACACTCCTCTCCAAACTGCAACACCACGTCCTCGGAGGAATTTGAGCCTCGACAGATTTAAGGTGCTGACTGATTGAATATTAACGTCGCCCTTTTCGGCTACACGAGGTCTTTTGGCGACGGACCTCGTATAATTCTGAACCATAGTTAAGTGACGAGAACGACACCTGAGAGGCAACACCTCTCTAAACTATCACACCACGCCAAAGGGAAGATTTTGAGCCTCAACATATTTAACGTGCATCGGCCCTTTGTATAGGGCGGATCTTCAGCGGCATCAGGGCTCGAACCCACGACACTCCGCCCACGAGTTTACGACCACAACTACTACGCAAAAAAAAGAAAACGATTTCTGAACAATACAGTATTCAATCGCATATCAAGTTCAAAAATGAAACTAATAAATATATGGGAATAAAAACGCATTTACTATCCGCTACCCAAACACTTCGCTGTGTATTTCACAACGTTCTATTGTAATATATTGATTTTCTATCACCCCCGCACAACAGGGATATTGTAAACTTTATATGATCAAGTGAAAAATCGCGTAAACAAGTATGGAAAGTACACGAATTTTAATAAAACATCCACATTCGCAAGCCGTGCGCGGCACATGGAAAACGAATAAATGGAAAACAACGCGTGTGAAAAGCGCAACTTTTGTTTACAAACTTTGACAATAATAAAAGGTGCTCGTAAAAACTGACAGGTTGGCTCATTAGAAAAACATCCTGAAAATAGATAAGATGCCCTTGTTTTTCCGTGCGCTGTGTTGACACATCTGTCACTAGAACAGAAAAAGATAACACTGTTTCACCACGAGGCGGTTAGTGACAGGAGTTCCAGCGTTTCACCTACAACTTTAGGATCACACGTTACAGATTAGTTTTTAATAAAATCTATAAAAAAATGAGGTTCGAATACATAAATTGGTTTGAATAAACGTAGATATATAACAGACCAGCGGTTCTTAAACTAAGGTCCACGGACCCCTGGGGATCCCCAGCACCTTTTTAGGGGTTCCGTGAACGTCTGTCATTTAAGACATTTCCCTGGTTTACAGACTCTGAAAAGTCTCGGGGAAAAATTGAAAGTTGTGAAATCTTTGACTAGATGAAAAAAAAACTCTACTACAGCATGTATATCGATCAACAATATTAATTTCCTTTTAAAAAATTCCTACTATTAGTTCACTCTCTATCTCTCTATATATATACCTGGTTCAAATTTTCAATCGCTAATAAAATACTTTTTATTCATCCATTTAAGTTCGAATACATTTTTTAAAACTTGTAGTGGACGACACTTGAAGTTAATAGCTTTTTCAAATATTGATTCATTAATTGAATTAAAAAATAAATAAATAGTAGGAAAAAAATAATCGTCCAACACCATATATAAAAAGGAAAATCGCTCGTTATCTCCCAGTAGCGTAATGGATAGCGCGTTGAACATGTAATCCAAAGGTCGTGGATTCCAATCTTACCTGGGATGGCCTAATTTCTGAGAATGTTATTTATGAATGAATAAATAGTAACAAACGAAAATAATAGTCAAACACCATATATAGAAAGAAAAATGGAAAATCGCAATCTATTTTGTCACTTAATATTGTGATTCAGTTATATGTATATAAATACATATTTATATGTGAATTGTAATTATTTAAAAAGAACTAAAATAAAATTTTTCTTTGTTGATCTAAGTAGGAATTGACTAAAAATTACATTATCCATACAAAATGTAGTCCTTGAATAAATTACAATTGTAGAAAAGATTTTACACGAATTCCTTTCAATGTAGAACTTTCGCTTGCTTTGTGTTGAGTTAAAATTACTTATTTTTGAGACAGAATGTTTCTTTATTGACGCTTTGAAGTTGCACGAGGGCTACTGGCGACGGGCTTAGTTATTTTCAACCACGGAGAAATAATGATGACGACACCTGAGTTGGCACCCCACTCACTAAGCATCTATACTACACCAAAATGAGGACTTAGAATCTCCGGACATCAGCCCCTTACGTATGGTGGATTCTTTAGTAACTGATTGATTGAATATTAACGTCACACTGTTCAGCTACACGAGGGCTTTTGGCGACGGACCACGGAATTTTGTACCATGGTCAAGTGACGTGGACGACACCTGAGCTGGCACCCCCTCTCCTAACTACCACACCACACCAACGGGAGGACGTTTCAGCTCTCGACAGATTTAACGTGCATCGCTGCCCTACACGGCGGGTCTTTAGTGGTACAGGGTTCGAACCCGTGACAAAGCAAGCCACGGTCCGATACCTATACCACTCGGCTACCGCGGCCACGATTCTTTAGTAACACAAAATACAATCGATAAATACAATCACAGCCACGAGTTCGCGACCGTGACCACTGGGCTACGGCGGTCACCTTACTTTTCTCAGAATAAACCATGTTTTCGAAAGTGTAACAATCAAAGTTTATCAAATGCAGTACTATCAAGTAAAATTCGAAGAATAGACATATCTGACCAATGAAAACATAAAAATATTTCAATTTCTTAAAATATGACATTGTTCGTTATAGGCTATAATTATAGAGAACTATAATGAACCATTTTTTTTTTGCTTTGGTTTACTGATTCGACACTGATTACAGCACTTTACGGTTGTAATCAGTAAATATACACTTTTGTATTACTTGTTTAGAAATGGTCGCCGTTCGGACGGGACGCGTCAAACATGCCGTCCAGACGAGATAGTGGTTGGTGACGCCGAAAGCTGAGATCAATGCAGCTGGTTCGAATACCGTTGAAGGCGTGGATGTTTTTAAATTATAGCATAGCCGAAAATCCTCTTGACCCCCCCTTACCGGATGTTTTTCCTCAAAGTGGGGTGGAACAGAGCAAAATCGTACTGTCACCTGCATGGTACTCAGTGCAGCGGCAAAACGACAGACGTAATCTTACCCCTCCCCCTTTCTTACGATAAACTTTGTGGGCCTCGAACTGAAATTACTGTCCACAGGGTGAGATAAGTAACACAACAGAAACAGTCGTTTTACTTCTGATAAACCAAAATGTTTCCCCTCCACCAAGGATTTAGCATTAGAAAAGTTTTCTTAACCTTTTTGTTATATTAACCGCAATAGAGTGAAACTACCTTCCACATCAGCTCTTATCAAATATAACTGTCTTTCTAATGGGTGTGTGCTTTCTATCATTCCACTAAGCAGTCTCGGTGCCTCTTGAAAGCTGCAACAGTCTAGGCTAATTTATGCAACAGAACAACACGAAAGTTACACACGAAATCTGGTTGATGCCTTACTTTTCTAACTTCTATACCCCGAGAGGACTTGAAATTCAGTTACACTTAACGCCTATCAGTCTTCATTATTCTACAAAACAAATTTTTGATGGAATCTGGACTCCCACCTACGCAGCTTGCATATTGATACTACCTAATAATATAGCACAGTGTAGAAGGGTTGATGCACGTTAAATCTCACGTTTTGAGGCTCGAAATCCTCTCGTCGACGTGGTGTGATAGTTTGAAAAGGGGGTGCCAGCTCAGGTGTCGTCTATATCAGGGGTCTGCAACCCCCGGTCCGTGGATCAAATGGTACCGGGCCACCTAAAGAACATTAAACTATTGCCATTTTATTAAAGTGGTGCATTTCTCTCTGATTTGCGCAACTTTCCAAGGAAATCACTTTATATTCCACGTTAAATCACTTTTATTCATTTTTGGTGTAACTATATTTTATTCTGAAGGCATATTTAAATGTAACTAAACTAAAATTGTTACATGAAAACAATCTAAAATACAAACAATCAACGTATCCCACCCTCAGCGGGCCGCGGTAAAATTATCAAACGTTGACCGGTCCGCAGCGATAAAAAATAGTTACAATTAATATAAATATGTATATACATATGACAGAATCACAATATTAGTGATTAGTAGTATACAGTAGCAAAACAAAAAGCGATTTTCCCTTCTATATATGATGTTGAACTATTATTTTTTCTTAATTACTAATTATTCATTCATAAATCATTTCTCAGAAATTAGGCCTTCCCAGGTAGGATTCGAAGTCCAAAGCGCTATCCGTTGCTCTACAGGGGCACAACGAGCGATTTTCTTTTTAATATATGTATTGTTGTACTACTATTTTTGCTTGACTATTAAATCATTAATTAATTTAATTAATGAATTAATACTTGTCAAAACTTTATTAACATCAAGTGTCATCCACTTCAAGTTTAAAAAAAATGTATTTGAACTTGAATGGATGACTCGAAAGTATTTTATTAACGATTAAAAGTTTGAACAAGATATACACATACTATAGGGAGATCCACTTCAAGTTTAAAAAAAATGTATTTGAACTTGAATGGATGACTCGAAAGTATTTTATTAACGATTAAAAGTTTGAACAAGATATACGCATACAATAGGGAGATTGTGAACTATTAGTAGAAATTGAAAAAAAAATGACCTTTTTTACTTTGTACTTGTTTACGTTCCGGAAAACCCAGAAAGAGAGTCCTAATTACGTAGTCTAACATATCCGCTAATTCTATTTTATCTAACTAGTTCAAGTTCCCCTTTATAACTACTCTTACACAATACCTATTCACTCCAATTAACACTAAAGCAATTAGGGTTTTTTTATAAAAAATAAAAAAAAAGAACGACTTCCCCTCCCTTTCCCCTAATTCTTTGTCTTTAAGCGCGATTTATAAATAAATAGCACTTTCGCCACAACCGACCCAGATATGAACATTAAATCGTTAGAAGCCATTCTGTTTTTCAGGCCGTTTCCGATAGACGAGAAGCGATAAAAGGGAAATGATTGTTTAATCAGGTGGAAGGTACCGAAACTCGCACCATTCGCGCCAAAACAACCGCACCATCACCCGGAACAAAGGGAACGGGTTAAGTACGGAAACGAGGGCACTGGAGAACACCTGCAAGATATTGGTTCATTTTTAAGATTGATTTAAAGTTAATTTCCTTTCTAGAACACTTTCGGATCTGAAGTTTCAAATGTAAGTTTAATACGTGAGGTCCTATCAAAATTTCTTGGCAATCACAGAATGAAGTGAGGGGGGGGAGCGAAAATGAGAGTTGAGGTTTTAGTTTTACGACATCTAAGGCTGTTGCCAATACATGAATTATATCAACGTCGCACTGTGAAGCTGCGCGAGGCCTGTTGGTGACGAACTACGTGAAATTAAATCTCAGTCAAGTGACGAGGACGACACCTGAGCTGGCACTCCCCTCTCCAAGCTATCATACCACGCCAACAGAACACTCGAGCCTCGACATCCTCTACGCGGCGGGTCTTCAGTGGTACCTGGCTCGAAACCATGACACGTTAGCCACCAGCCCGTTACCTTAACAACTATGATACCGCGGCGACATAAAAGAGGTGGGGGAGGCGTGAAAATGTAATGTTCAAAATCTTTTAGTGTAAAATTATAAACAATTTTACACAAAGCATCCCCCCCTCCCTATTTATGAGGACGTGTGGCAAACATATGACTACATAACCATGCACGAACAACATTAACACTAAAATTTTCTATACGTATATACAAATATTCAACGTTAAGTATCTTTTCTTAAGGCTATCTTCGGCTAATGTTAAAGAATAGGGCCGAAATTCGGAATATTTTTTCAGTTATAAAAGTACTCCAACATTAATATTATATTCTGGCTTCGCTATCCTGTAGCGAATCGCTTATTTTATTAGACTACTCATTTTTATCCGAGTTTAACACATTTTTTTTTCTTTTATAAAATGTGTTTCGCATTTTTTCTCATATACCGTAATGCTAAGTGAGCTATCCCTTAACATGTTAAAAGGAAAAATTAATTATTAATGGAATATTTTGAAATTTTAAAAACACTATATTATAAACAAATGCATGAGTTGCAATGTCGCGAATTTTTATAAAAATTGAGGCATTACTTTCTGTTTGAAAATATGCGCCGCGTTAAGTTCCCGCTCTCGTACATATGGCGAAAACAACCTTAAAAGTAAACTACAGATTAACCCCTTGAACTGACGCGAGTGAATAAACCCTCGCTCAGCTTGCGTTAATTGCCTTACCGGACAACACACACATAGTGTTGCTATGAGTAAAACTATTCTGAAGGCTTTGGAATGCAACAGAATGACCTACAGCAGGGGTGTCCAACACGCGGGCCGCATGTGGCCCACCAGTACGGAAGTTGCGGCCCGCCGACTCTTTAAATTTTTTTTAAATATCCGGTTTTTAAAGTTTTTTCATTTTGAAATTTATTTAAGGTGAAATTTGTATATATATATATATATATATATATATATATATATATATATATATATATATATATATATATATATAATCTACTATGTATTTGCCTGTTAACTGTTCTTGTTTTAAAATAAATACTTTTTGATGATAGAAACGTCCTTTAGATTAAAATAGATTTATATTTTATCAAACATTTACGTTTGATTTTATTAT